AAGAAAACGCATGGGTTAATCTTCATGACCTTGATTTGGTAATGGTTTCTTAGATATGACATCAAAAGCACATGCCACAAAAGGAAAAAACAGACGAGATGGATTTCATCTTCACCAAAATCACAGACTTTTGTGCATCGAAGGCCACTCTCAAGTGAGTAAAGAGATAACTCAAATGCAGGGAGAAAATGTTTGCAAATTATATCTAATAAAGCTCTAATATCCAGAATATATAAAGAGCTCTTATGACTCAACGATGAAAAGACAAGTAGCTTAATTAAAAACTGGCCAACAGATTTGAATAGCTATTTCTCCAAAGAAGATACGCAAATGGTCAAAAAGCATATGAAAAGATGCTCCACAACATTAGTCAACAGGGAAAAGTACAAATCAAAACTACAATGAGATACACTTCATACCCACTAAAATGGCCATAAAAAAACCTCCAAATAATAGAAAATAACAAGTGTTGATGGGGATATGGAGAAATTGGAACCCTCTTACATTGCTGGCGGGAATGTGGAATGGTGCAGCCATGGTGGAAAGTGGTTTGGCAGTTGGATATGTTAAACACAGAATTACAATATGACCCAGGAATTCTACTCCAAGGCATATACCCAAAGGGTTTGAAAACCAGTGTTCAAACAAAAGCTTGCACACAAATGTTCATACCAGCACTGTTCACTATAGCCAAAAAACAGAACAACCCAAATGTCCACCAACTGATAAATGGATAAACAAAATATGATATATACATACAATGAATATTATTCTCCCATAAAAAAGAATGAAGTACTGATACATGCTATAACATAGATGAACCTTAAAATATTATGCTAAATGAAAACCAGTTACAAAAGAGCACATATTACATGATACCATTTACATGAAATGTCCAGAATAAGCAAATCTATGGAGACACAAAGTAGATTAGTGGTTGCATAGGGCTGGAGTAATCTGTGTGCTGTAACAGAATACCACAGACTGAGTGGTTTATAAACAACAGAAATTTATTTCTCACAGTTCTGGAAACTAAGAAGTCCAAGATCAAGGCACTGGCAGATTCGGTGTCTGGTGAGGGTCGAGTAAGCTCTCTGGGACCTTTTTTATAAAGGCACTAATCTCATTCCTGAGGTTCTAGTCTCACGAGGTAACCACCTCCCAAAGCCCCCACCTCCTAACACCATCACAGTGGGGGTTAGGTTTCAACAAGTGAATTTGGAAGGGGACATGAACATTCAGACCATAGCAACAAATCCCTACCAAAGAATAACGAATTTAGGTCTCGTAGGTTGTGAATAAGTGGTAAACGTACTTATCACCATGATACTTTTTTTCCAGTATTTGAACAACATAAAACTATTTAAGTATGTAAGTTGATAAGAAACCACAAATTATGGCTTAATCAACTGAACACATTTACTTACCTCCTCGGGGAGAAGGAGAATCGTGCCCTCCAATGACCACAAGGATGCCAGAACCTTCTAGCTTCTCTTTCCATTTTTCAATGATAGTCCCAGACTTGTCCTGAAAGCATGGGGTTGGCAGGTTAGGAAAATTCCCCCAGAACAGTCAGACGTGACCTATACTAAGGCTAAATCACCCAAGAGAAAGTTCACGAATACCTTACTGGCATCATTAAATACAGAGAGCTCCATGGTGCCTTCAAAGTCCTGTTGCAAAACAGAATTCAAGCACTCGTCCAACCACTGTTCGGCATTGTGGACTGGGAGGATAATAGACTGGAATTCAAAAGAAAGGGAGTAACAGAAGTGTGAAAACTCAGCTCCCTTCCCACTACTCTAAGGTACTTCCCCTTCCCATCCACACAATGCTCATTTTCAAATGGCAAGGCCCGGCTCACAGAACAACCCAGAATAACCCAGAATAAGGCCTCCAGCGAAAGCATATTCTCTGACAAACAAAAGGTGTCTACTCCTTCCCTCCAAGCTCTTAACACTGTTTTATTCCATAAGATTTACCATGTCTTAGATTTCCCTGAATTGGTCTTCCCTACGTTTTTGAAAGGGGAAAACAATCTGAAAGGCATCAAAATTGTTCCTAATTCAATGGTACATTCATGTGTTTTCCAAGCACTAGTCAGAACATTATCATTTTGGTTGAAACAAGCATCTGTGAACCTTCCCACCCACTCCTGAAAATAACTGGTCATTTTCTCGGTGGAATAAGCATTTCAGCAAACTACAACAAAGTAACCCCTTGAAGTAGCCTCCTAAACAATGCTTTAACAAACTATGGGGCGGGGGGAGGTTGTTCGAAGGACCCAGCTGAGAAAACGGGACATGAGACCATTCCTTGTTCTGCACTTAGTAGGTCTGGTCTGGCCCCAGCATTGCGCTTTTCTGATGCAGGCCAAGACTAAAGCAAAAATTTCTTAAGTGGCATGGAGTAAAACCAGTGGTACCTGACTATCAACAAAATAACTGATGACAGGAATTGTCTTAAATTCACACATGGTATTAGGTGATACAGAGTATCCATACAAGTCACAGTCCGTCCGTCCGCACCCTGACTTCATAGCTACTGAACAAAAGTGGGCAAATTCCTAAACAAGAAAAACACAGGCCAGCCAGGTGTGCTACACACGTACGCACACCTATACAACACACGTGTGTACGTGTACATGTGTGCATTGTCTCTGTCTACATAACACAGGTATTCTTCAATACTAAATTCAAACGGTTATGAAAAGCTGACAGGTACGACTGTCGAAAAGGTAATTCGGGCAAGCTCTTCCCACACGAAACCTCACTCTGAGCAGCTGACCCAACGGTCGTATCCCTTCCCGGACTCAGTTCTATAAAAGCCTCTCATTTCTTTACCTAGTTACTTTACTTTGCATTTACTTTTTAAAAGAAAAGAAAGAAAGACTATTTTTTTCAAGCTCTGCAACACCAAACCTAACGTGAGTTTCTGTCAGAGACAGACCCTGATGAACCTCCGTGCCCGGTTTTAGCAAGACTGGCACAAAAAACAGAACGAGCCGCCCCGCGCTGAGCCTTTGCGCTAGTGCCAGCCCCGCAGCGCCGGGGTGGCTCCCGGTCGGCTCCCGCGTGCGCGGGGCAGGTGCGCGGGGCAGGTGCGCCGCGGCCCGCCCGGGGCCCCGCAAGGCCGCGTCCCCACGCCCGAGGGCGAACGGGGCACGGTGTGAGGCGCTCGCGGTGACGTGCCCAGTAGAGCCACCTGCCCTGAGGACCCCGGCCACGCGCGGCCCCGGCGGCTCCTCTGACCCCCGCGGAACGCCTTCCGCTTAGAACCTGCGTCCCGCCGGCGCCCACGCACCTCGGGCGGCGAGCGCGGGAGGTGGAGGCGGAGAGGGAGACCCGAGCAGGGGAAGCGGAGGACCTCAGGGCAGGAGGGGCCGAGAGGGAAGAGGGCGGCGAAGGGCGGGGGACGCGGGTGAGGAAGGGTGCGGCGGCAGGGGCCGCCCCGCACCTACCACGCGGGGCCCGGCGCCGGGCGCGGCGTCCCCCTGGGCCTGCATGGCGCGCGCTCCCCGTCCCGCCCCCACCTCGGCGCGTGCGCGGGCGGCTCCAGGAGGCGGGGCGGCCTCCCATCAGCGCAGGGGGCGGGGCTTCTCACACCCGGAAGTGCGCGCGCGGCGGCCGCTGAGCTCCCGCCCTGCCCTTTGACCCCGGCGGGTCTTCTGCCCGGGGTCGCTTTTTGCGCTGCTCCGCGGCCCCGCCCAGGCGCCTGGTCACGCGCCGTGAGGCCTCAGCGAGCCAGGTGTTGCGCGCCGTGGCGGCGCGGAGGTGGCACTCGGAGGTCGCCGAGCGGCCGTCGGAAACGCCCGATTTCGTCAGAGCGGTGATCGCCTGGCCTTGGGGACGAGGAGAGGCCGGGGCGCCTTTCCGCACGCAGTGGGGGGTTTGGGAGCCCGCCGGCCTCGCCCTGCTGTGCGTCCCCGCAGCCCCGGCGAGCACCGCACTGAAAACGGGCTCTGGGGGACCGGGGCTCGTCCTTAAAGCACCTTCCCTTCCGGGAACGCAGGGGCCGCTGTTCTGCCGTCGGAACTTCCCTCCGGGGGCTCCGCAAGTCTCCTGGGACCCCCACCCCGGCCTGTGCTGCGGGCACTGGGGGGGCCGGCTCAGTTCCTGCGGGCGGGTTCGGGTCAGCGAGCATCGCTGCTGGCTGCGTGGCCCCAAAACTGCACTCGCCGGCGGACCTGGGCGGCTGCAAGGGACTGTCCTCTGCCAGGGACTGTCCTCTGCGGCT